AAAAAAAAAAAAAAAAAAAAAATACAGTCTTGATTTTTGGCAAGGGTAACAACAGAATACAATGGAGAAAGAATAGGCTTCACAGCAAATGGTGCTAAGACAACTAAATATCAACATGCAAAAGAATGAAGTTGGACTCCTACCTCACACCATACACAGAAATTAACTTAAAATAAATTACAGACCTAAATGTAAGAGCTACAACTATAAAACTCTTAGAAGAAAATATAAAAGTACATTTTTTGGACCTAGGGTGAGGCAAAACTTTCTTAGGACATCAAACGCACACACAATAAAAGAAAAAAGACAGCTAAATCGAAACTTTTATCAAAACCACAATAAGATATAACTTCACACCTGTCAGAATGGCTACTATCAAAAAGACAAAAGATAACAAGTGTTGGTGAGGATGTAGAAGAAAGAGAGCCTTTGTATACTGCCAGTAAGAATGTAAATTGGTATACTCAATATGAAAAATAGTATATTTTGAGAAGGATCTTCAAAAACTTAAAACAGATCTATCTTATGATTCCGCAACGCCACTTCTGAGCATACATCCAAAGGAAAGGATATCAGTATCTCAAAGTGACATCATACTCCCATATTCACTGCAGCACTATTCACAACAGTCCAGATCTGGAAACACCTAAGTGTCCTTCAATGGATGAGAAAAGAAAATGTGGCATATATACCATGAAACATTACTCAGCCTTAACAAAGGAGAAAATCCTGCCATTTGGGACAACATGAATGAACCTGGAGAACATAATGCTAAGTGAAATAAGTCAGACACAGAAAGAAAAAGCCTGTATGAGCTCACTAATGTGTGGAATATGAAAAAGTTGGCAGAAGCAGAGAGTAGCATGGTGGTTGCCAGGGGCTGGGGCATGGGGAAAATGTGGAAATGTTGGTTAAAGAGTACAAAGTTTCAATCTAGCATAAAAATCTAACTTCTGCGAATCTAATATACAATTTGGTGACTACAGTTAATAAAACTCTATCGTAGGCTGGGTGCTGTGGCTCACGTCTGTAATCCCAGCACTTGGGTAGGCCTAGGTGAGAGAACTGCTTGAGTCCAGGAGTTCAAGACCAGCATAAGCAACCTAAAGAGACCTCATCTCTACAAAAAATAAAAAAATTAAAAAGTGGTCAGGTATAGCGGTGTGTATCTGTAGTCAGGAAGCTGAGGCAGAAGAATCATCTGAGCCCAAGAAGCTGAGGCTGCTATGACTGGGCCACTGCACTCCAGCCTAACAGAATGAGACTCTGACTCAAAAATAATAACATCCTATTGTATACTAGATATTTGCTAAGGAAATAGATCCTTTTAATATTTTTTAAATAAAGACAGGGTCTCCCTGTGTTGCCCAGGCTGGTCTCAAACTCCTGGTCTTAAGTGATCCTCCCACCTCAGCCTCCTAAAGTGATAGTATTACAGGCATGAGCCACCACACCTGGCTGAAAGCACATCATGAATGTTATTACATACACAAAAATGAAAACAATGTGAAATGAGGGATATGCTAATTAGCTCAATTGTGGTAATTATCTTACAATGTATACATATATCAAAACATTTGTGTACTGTAAACAGTATATATAATTTTCATTTGTCAATTATACCTCAGTAAAGCTGGAGGAAATTTTTTTAAGTTTTGTGCTTCAAAAGAGACCATCAAGAAAATAAGAGTCACAGAAAAGTAGAAAACACTTGCATATCTTATATGTGTTTTTTGTATATTGTAGAACATACAAAAAAAACTCTTGCAACTCAATAATAAAAATATAAACCAATTAAAAAATGGACAAAGAATCTGAGTAAGCAGTTTTCCAAAAAAGAACTACAAATGGTCTACAAGCATATGAAAATATGCTCAACATCACTAGCCATCAGGGAAATGCAAATCAGAACCACAATGAGATATAACCTCACACTCACCAGGATGGCTATAATTAAATAAACAAAAACAGAAAAGAACTGCAAGCATGTGGAAAGCTGGCAGTCGCATACACTGCTGACAGGAATGTAAAATGGCACAACAAGCTGGCAATGCCTCTGAAAGTTAAGCAGCGAGATGCCACACGGCCCAGTAACTCCACTCTTCCGAGGTGCATATCCAAGAGATCTGAAAACATCTGTCCACACGAAGACTTGTACACCTATGCTCAAGTAGCATTATTCATGAATAGCTAAAAACGGGAAACTCAAATTTTTATGACACGCTGTAACATGAAGGAGCCTTGAAATTTATGCTGAGTCAAAAAGAAACTAGTCACAAAAGACCACACAGTGTACGATTCCATTTATGAAATATTCAGAAAATAAGCAAAGATATAAACAGAAAGCAGACTGATAGTTGCCTAGAGTTAGGGATGGAGTGAAAAGCAGGGCACCCTGGGGAAGTTGAGATGATGGGTTGGAAGGAGAAGTGACTGCTAACGTGTACCATGATTCTTTTGGGAGCAATGACCATATTCTAAAAGTGGTTGTGTTGATGGTTGTACAACTCTGTGCATATAATAAACTGTACTGAATTTGCACAGAATTGTTTAAATTGATCACATGGGTGAATTATATAATATACAAATCATATCTCAATAAAGCTATTCTACTTTTTTTTTTTTTTTTTTGAGTTGGAGTCTCACTCGGTCACCCAGACTGGAGTGCAGTGGCCACTCCCAGCCACCGCAGCCTCGACCTGCTGGGCTCCGGCAATCCTTCCGCCTCAGCCTTCTGAGTAGCCGGAATTACAGGCACGTGCTACCACGCCCGGCTGATTTTTTGATTTGTTGTAGAGATGAGGTCTCGCCGCCCAGGCGGGTCTCAAACCCGCGGGCTCAGGCAATCCACTCACCTCAGCCTCACAAAGGCGCGGGATTACAGGCTGAGCCACCGAGCCCGGCTTATTCTACTTTTTAAAAACATAATCTAACACCTTAATGAATGGAAGGAGTTCTGGACTTTTCCTATGGTTTTTCCTTTACAAAAACAAATTCCTCCATATATATTATAGCTTGTTTTTACATAATAGGGAAAATATTTTTGAACATTCATAGAGATTATTTTTATGACTAGGATAATCTTTTGTATTGATGTACTAATGTCTCACATTTGAATATTTAAATTCCTTCCAGTTTCTCACTTTCTCACTACTATAAACATCTTAGTAGTCAAGTCTTGGTCAAAATATTTAATTATTTCCTGAGGATAATCTTGTTAGTGGAACTGGTTATTCTACCGGGGCAAAGGTTATAAATATTTCTAATGCTTTTGACACCTATTGACAAATCCTTTTTTTTTTAATAAGAGTCTCTGTCACCCAGGCTGGAATGCAGTGGCACACTCACGGCCACCACAGCCTTGCTAGGCTCAGGGGATCCTTCCACTTCAGCCTTCCAAGTAGTTGGAACTATAGGCGTGTGTCACCACGCCCAGCCAATTTTTTTATTTATTGTAGAGACAAGGTCTCACCAAGTTACCCAGGCTGATCTTAAACCCATGGGCTCAGGCAACCCTCTCACCTCAACCTCCTAAAGTGCTGGGATTACAGGCATGAGCTACCATGCCCAGCTAAATATGTGGTCTTTTTTTTTTTTCAGTCAGAGTCTCTGTCGCCTAGGCTGGAGTGCAGTGGCACACTTCACAGCCACCATAGCCTCGACCCTCTGGGCTCAGGCGAGCCTTCTGTTTCAGCCTCCTAAGTAGCTGGAACCATAGGCATGTGCCACCACGCCTGGCTAATTTTTTATTTATTGTAGAGACGAGGTCTCACTATGTTGCTCGGGCCGGCCTCGAACTCCTGAGCTCAGGCAATCCTCTTGCCTCTGCCTCTCAAAGTGCTAGGATTAAGGCGTGAGCCACCGTGCCCAGCCCACACGTGTATTTTCAACTATGAGGTGTGGGATGGGGTGTCCAGGTCCCTGACCTTCTCTGTACCACATCTACCACAGCACCAACTGCAAAAACGTCACGACGAATTAATAAGTGAGTCAGTGGCACACAGACAGGTTCTGGACATACTGCTGTTCTTCCTTCCTTCTCCCCGTGCCCTTGGCTCCCTCATCACCTCATGACCCATGGAACCTGTTTCTCTGCAGCACCCTGTGTGCTTTTGGCTGCTGCCTTCCTTCCCCCTTTCAAACCTGAGAGCCCAACACCCTATCACAAGGGAATCCTACCAAGTAACCCAACAGCTCTGTAATGTAAAGCACGTGGCCCAGGATGTGTCAGTACTTCCACCTGCAGACAGAGTTGAAGTAAAGTCTGTCCAACTATCTAGGAGGCATGGAGGGATGTCCCGAGCCTGGTTAGCATCAACAGACAGGGGGCTCTGTAACAGAGCAGGGAGGCTGCATCAAGCTTCACCATGACTGGGGAACTATCCATAAGCTGTAAGGTCACCAACCTCCCTTTCGTAACTTGAAGCTCAAGTAGGCCAATATGGCTTTCTAGGCCCCTGATAACAAGAAGCAAATATCTACGAAAGTACTCACTAAAAAACATTAAGCACCATTATAAATTGTCAAATTGCAATTCCTGTGAGTTTAGCTTGAGTCCTTATCCCCTCTGGCCCCTGTGATTAATAATGGGTTTTCTGACAGACAAGTTTCTAGACCAGTAAAGATAAAAGCCAGACTCCTGACAGATGGTGGCCTCCTATCTTGCTAAGGGAGTCAAGCTACAGCCTTTTAATTATAATATGTAGCCCAATTTATAATTATGAACGTATTCCTGAAAGAGTATACTATACATATAAGGCTAAGACTTCCACACCCAGAGTCCCTTTCTAAAAAGTAACTCCAGGAATTCTTGGCCAAAAGTGGACATGCTGGTGTCACCTGAGCCAGGCCACAGCTGAACAGATCAATAATCTGCATTCCAGACCAAAGCAACCTATGAACAAATCCTAAGCACACAAGGGCCATAGGGTCATATGTCTTTAAGGCCCAGCAGACTATAATGGGCTCACTGAAAGCCTGTGGTCCCCAAGGCTGCTCCCTACTGGAAAGTAACTGCCTTAGTCAGGTTTCTCTTCTCTGGGGAGATGAGGCAGCCGAGAGAGTCACAGGCAGAAGCAAACAGGACTCACTGGAATCAGCAGACATGAGTGCCTATTTCTGAAGGAACCACAGGTGTCCATTAAGAGAGTCACTGGCTCAAATCCCAGCTCAGCCACATACTAGCTGGTTGACTTTGGGTAAATTACTTAATTTCTCTAAGCCTCGGTCTTTCTTCTGTAAAGTTGAGATAATGGGTAGGTGCCTATGATAGAATATTCAGAATTGTTGTGAGAACCACATAAAGTGTTCAGCAGAGTCCTTGGCCAGGAAGAACTCTAATGGATGGGCTGTTCTTACTACCTTGTGGATCACTGGAGCTACTGCTCTGCTCCAAGAAGAAGCAAAAAACTGCTCTTACGTCCCGTGTCAACTCCCAGGAAACTCCCAACTCCAAGAGAACCTGAGCACTCTGCAGCCTCTTCCCGCCTCCCTCACTCACCTGCTCAGGTAGACAGTATATTTTTATCCACCCCCACACCCCCCCTTGTTAGAGAGATGTATATGAGGAAGGCCAATGTATTTCAGAGCAGCATACCTGGAGAAATGCAAACCCTGGGGTATCGTCAATCCAAAGTTACCAGGGAAAAGGGGAAAGGCGTTCCTGAACAGTTCTTGCATTTCAGATACAGAAAATACTTACTAAATGCATCTACTGCCTTTGTCATATTGTTCTGGGTAGACCTGAGAAAATAAAATTAAAGAAAAAGAAAGTTTTTCCCTTTGAAAATTAAAAAAAAAGAGAAAGAGAGAAAAAAATATTATCACATTTTCATGTAAAAACCCTGTCCTCTTCAACAGGGGTCTCTAATCCCTGGGCTACAGACCAGTGCTGGTCCGTGGAACCAGGCCACACAGCAGGAGGTGAGCATTGGACTAACAAGTGAAGCTTCCTCTGTATTTACAAGCTGCTCCCTATCGCTCGCCTCCTGTCAGATCAGAAAGGCATTAGAGTCTCATAGGAGGGCAAACCCTACTGTGAACAGCACATGGGAGGGATCTAGGTTGTGCGCTCCTTATGAGAATCTAATGCCTGATGATCTGAGGTAGAGCCGAGGCAGTGATGCTAGCACTGGGGCGCGGCTGCAAATAAAGATCCACGTTAGCAGCGAGATTCAACTACACAGAGACCATAATAAATCAACTGCTTGCAGACTCACAGTAAAACCCTATCAGTGAGTGACAAGTGAGTGGCTGTACTTCAACTGTACATCTGCATCTGGTGGCAGGCTTTAAGACAGAATTCAACACCTATTTTAGTCCACGTGTGGCCCACCCATTATTTTATTTACCACTTCTATCTGTGTCTTTTCTTTCTTCACGGCGAGTTGTACAATCATTTCATTAAACATTACCAAGTAGTAGTAACAGAAATCAAGTGCACAATAAATGTCGTACACTTGAATCACCCTGAAATCATATCCCCCACACTGGTCCATGGAAAAATGTCTTCCACAAAACTGGTCCCTGATGCCAAAAAGGTTGGGGACTGCTGCTCTACAAGGCCTGGCAATATTTCCAGTGCTCCTCAATGCTCCTTGCTCCAAGGTGTTCCTTCTTGGCCCACGTCCTAGCTCCAGCTAACGTGTTTAAAGTGCCTCCTGGGTGCCTCTGTATTCATAACACTGGAAGACTATTCTTCCTTATTAAATTGACTGCATGTGCTTAGGCACATCTTTTTCAGAAATGGTACTTCAGGCATGACAGAAATACCATCTCTCCTGTTATTTCCAAACTGTAAAAATAATCTGTACTTGATTTTCTACACCAAAGGTAAGTTCTTTAGCAATAAAACTCTTCAAAACCATGAATGCCCTCTGTGTGACATGGCTGGGATACAGAACAATCTACTGGGTGAAACACGGGCTTTGAAGTCAGAGTCTTGGTTATGCTACTTATTAGTGGTGTGATTTTAAACAAGTGACTTCATTTCTAGAAGTTTTACTTCTTCGTTTGTAAAATAGGATCACTACCACTTACCTGTGGGAATTAAATAAGATGATATAAGCACAACTGCTAATAAGATCATGGTCAGAAAGTAAGTTTTTTGTGATTTTTTTTTTGAGTTGAAGTCTTACTCTGTCACCCAGACTGGAGTGCAGTGGTCGCTCCAGGCCACCGCAGCCTTGATCTGCTGGGTTCCGGCGATCCTTCCGCTCAGCCTTCCAAGTAGCTGGAACTACAGGCACACGCTACCACACCCAGCTGATTTTTGATTTATTGTAGAGATGAGGTCTCGCCAAGTTGCCCAGGCGGGTCTCAAACCCTCGGGCTCAGGCAATCCACTCACCTCGGCCTCCCAAAGCGCGGGATTACAGACTGAACCACCGAGCCCAGCAAGTTTTTTTTTTTTAATGACATTTCTTATCATACTAGCCAAGTCTACTCTCCTTTACCTTTAAATGACATTGTTTACAAAAAAAGGAACCTAAAAAAAGGAAACTAATAGAGATCTAGTTAACTTAAAAAATAAATTACTGATATAAAAAAAGATATTATGTTCTAATCAATAAGAAAACAATTTTCCTAACCATAAAACTCATGCCTTCCCTAGAAGCAAACACCATTAGACTCATTAACTGGCAGTACCCTCATTTTGTCCTTGGATGGCATCTAATGTAGGATTCCAACATTTTGCTTCTTTCAAAACTTCTTTCAGGCTCCAAGCAAATAAGAACTGATTTATACTCTACAGACCACCAAAATACAATAATTCATTAGCAAATCATTTCCAATTTAATTCAGTGAGATGTTTAACATTAAGTTAGATAACTGCTAATCCTCTCCCAAACTCTCTAATGGCTTCCCATCTCACTCCAGGTAAAAGCCATGACCAACATATCTCTTCTATACTATTTCTCTGCTTTTTATTTCTCCTATTTAAAATACCAGGCCGGGCTCAGTGGCTCAGCCTGTAATCTCAGCACTTTGAGAGGCCAAGGCGAGTGAATTACTTGAGCCTCAGGGTTCAAGACCCACCCGGGCAACTTGGCGAGACCCCATCTCTACAATAAATCAAAAATTAGCCGGGCGTGGTAGTGCGCGCCTGTAGCTCCGGCTACTTGGAAGGCTGAGATGGAAGGATTGCTGGAGCCCAGCAGGTCGAGGCTGTGGCAGCCGGGAGCGTGCCACTGCACTCCAGTCTGGGAGACAGAGTAAGACTCCAACTCAAAAAAAAATTAAATAAATAAAATACCAGATGATGGCTGGGCACAGTAGCTTATGCCTGTAATCCCAGCACTTCAGGAGGCAGCGGCGAGAGAACTGCCTGGGCAACATGGCGGAAACCTTGTCTCTACAATAAATCAAAAAATTTGCTGAGTGTGGTGATGCACACCTGTAGTTCCAGCTACCTGTTAGGCTGAAGAGGAAGGATCATCTGAGCCCAGCAGGTGGAGGCTGCGGTGGCTGTAAGCGTGTCACTGCACTCCAGCCTGGGCGACAGAGTGAGACTCCAACATATATATGTACATACATACATAAAATAAAATACCAGATGGCTGAGGAGTATAGGGTTCCTTTCTGGAGTAATAAAAATGTTCTAAAGTTGGCTACAATGAGGGATCCATAAATACACTAAAAAGTACCGAATTGTACACTTTCCATATGTGAATTGTATGGTGAGTTATAGCTTGATTCTAAAAACCCTTCCTGTTTCTTTTTTCTGTATCTCCAACTAGAAAGTAAGCATTATGAATGACAAATCTGTACCTGTTTTGTACAACACACTATCCTCCAAACAATGCCTGGAATTTTTGAGATACTCAAATGTGGGGAAGAGAGGAAGAAAGGAAGGGAGGAGGAAAGAAAAGGATTAAGGATTAATAGAGGGAGAGAAGCAACTGCCAAAGAAGATATACCTAAAAATCGCCCAGCTAAGGAGTCCTCGAAGATGCAAATTAAGTACTTGAGCTAGCCCTTTTGCATCTTCAAATCTTTTTCAGTGAGGCCTTTAAATAGATCCTTTTAAATCACATCCTATTTATACCTTCAATAGCTTCTAATCATACCAAGAATAAAATGCTAACTCCTTTACCTAGCTTTGACCCTGCCTACTACTTCTACTCCCTCCTTGAAAGCCCACCATCCCCTTCCCACCACCTGGCCTTGGCAAAGGCCACCCGCTGACCTTCCCACCTCACCAGGCAGGTCTCGGGAAGCCACCCACTTCTCCAGTACCTGCCCCTTGATCACTATCTTTCTAACACTTACTTTGATATTTTCTTACATGTATATTGTCTACCACTTCCTGTAAAATTAAATCCCAAAAGAACAGACTTATCTGTCTTGTTCACTCAATATTCCTCAGATGTAGAAGAGGCTGCCACAAGTCAGTGCTATTTGCAGAACAAAGACACGGAAGCTCCAAATCTCTCTTCCTGGGAGACTCAAGAAGAGAGAATGCTAAAAAGGCTGAGCAGTTTTCCTAAAACAGCGGCACCTCATCGCAGTTACATAATCCCTTATCTATCTCCCCCATTCAGCAGTTCCCTAAAAACAGGAATGGGTTACATTTATCCCCATAGGACCAATACCCAACATTTGCTGAATGAATATATGCTTAATTTTTGCTGAATTTGTAGTATTCATCTCCATATTCTCCTTCTCCAATATCTATTGATTTGTGCTTTAAAAAAATATGTAAAATATATGCATACAAACGCACACACACATATACTTATTCAGGCATACCTTGGAGATGTTATAGGTTTGGTTCCAGATCACCACAATAAAGTGAGTCACATAAACTTTTTGGTTTCCCACTACATGTATATCTATGTATATCTCTGTGTGTGTGTGTGTGTGTGTGTGTGTGTGTGTGTGTGTGTGTGCGCGCGCACGCACATACATGTATCTCTGGAGATGGGATCTTGCTATGTTGACCATGCAGGAGTACAGCAGTTATTCACAAGTATAATCATAGCACACTACAGCCTTGAACTCACAGACTCAACCTATCCTCCTGCTTCAGTCTCCTAGGTATGCATCATCAACACCTCACTTCCTACTGTGTAAAAAAGTTACGTTTATAGCATTATATGTACCTTTGTTTAAAAATACTTTATTGCTAAATAGGTTAATGATCAAATGAGCCTTCAGTGAGTCACAATCTTTTTGCTGGTAGAGGGGCTTGCCTCCATGTTGACGGCCGCTGACCAATCAAGGTGGTAGCTGTGGCAATTTCTTAAAATAAGACAATGAAGTTTGCCACACAGATTGACTCTCCCTTCCACAATTAAAAGACTTCTCTGTAGCATGTGATGCTGTTTGATAGTATTTTACTCACAGCAGAACTTCTTTTAAGATTGGAGTCAACCCTCTCAAATCCTGCTGCTGTGTTATCAACTAAGTTTATTTACTATTCTAAATCCATTGTTGTCATTTCAATAATTGTTCACAGCATCTTCACCAGGAATAGATTCCATCTCAAGAAAACCACTTTGCTCATTCATAAGAAGCAACTCCTCATCTATAAAAGTTTGATCATGAGATTGCAGCAATTCAGTCACAGCTTCAGGCTCCACTTTTAATTCTAGCTCCACCACATGTGCAGTGACTTCTTCCACTGAAGTCCTGAACCCCTCAAAGTCATCCATGAGGGTCAGAATCAACTTCTTTCAAATTCTTGTTAATGTTGATATTTTCACATCCTCCCATGAATCATGAATATTCTTAATGGCATCTAGAATGATGAATCCTTTCCAGAAAGTTTTCAACTTAGTTTGCCCAGATCCATCAGAAGAATCAATATCTATGGCAATCGATTACTTATAAAACATATTTCTTAAAAAATAAGACTTGAAGGTTGTAATGACTCCTTGATTCATGGACTGCAGAACAGATGTTGTGTTAGCAGGCATGAAAACATTAATTTATTTGTACATCTCCGTCAGAGCTCTTAGATAACCAGGTGCATTGTTAGTGAGCAGTAGTATTTTGAAAGGAAACTTTTTCTGAGCAGTAGGTCTCAACAATGGGCTTAAAATATTCAGTAAGCCATGGTGTAAACAGATGTGCTGTCATCCAGGCTTCACTGTTTTATTTCTAGAGCACAGGCAGAGTAGATTTAGCATAATTTTTAAGGGCTCAGGGATTTTTGGAATGGTAAAAGAGCAGTGGTTTCAACTCAAAGTCACCAGCCGCATTAGCCCCTTTCAAGAAAGTCAGCCTGTTCTTTGAAGCTTTGAAGCCAGGCATTGACTTCTTTCCAGCTATAAAAGCCCTAGATGGCATCCTCTTCCAATGTAAGGCCATTTCATCTGCACTGAAAATCTGTTTGGTGTTGCCTCCTTCACCCAATGATCTTAACTAGATCTTCTAGACAACTTACTGCAGCTTCTACATCACCTTGCACTTTTATGTGGAGACAACTTCTTTCCTTAAACCTCATGAACCAATGCCTGCTAGCTTCAAACTTCTTCTGCAGTTTCCCTATCCCTCTCAGCCTTCACAGAATTAAAGAGAGTGAGGGCCTTGCTCTAAAGTAGGCTCTGGCTTAAGGGAATGCTGTGACTGGTCTGATCTTCTTTCCAGACCACTAAAACTTTCTCCATAACAGTAATAAGGCTATTTCATTTTCTTCTCACTGTGTGCTCCCTGGAGTAGCACTTTTAATTTCCTTCAAGAACTTTTCCTTTTGCATCCACAACTTGGCTAATAGTTTGGTGCAAGAGGCCTAGCTTTTGGCCTGTCTCAACTTTCTACATGCCTTCCTCACTAAGTTTAATCATTTTTTTTTTTTTTTGAGTTACAGTCTCACTCTGTCACCCAGACTGGAGGGCAGTGGCCGCTCCCGGCCACCGCAGCCTCGACCTGCTGGGCTCCGGCGATTCTTCCACCTCAGCCTTCCGAGTACCTGGAACTACAGGCGTGTGCTACCACACCCGGCTAATTTTTTGATTTATTGTAGAGATGAGGTCTCACCAAGTTGCCCAGGCGGGTCTCGAACCCGTGGGCTCAGGCAATCCATTCACCTCAGCCTCCCAAAGCATGGAGGAATTATAGGCTGAGCCACCGAGCGCAGCTAATTTAATCATTTCTTGCTTTTGATTTAAAGTGAGAGACAGAGCCGGGCTTGGTGGCTCAGCCTGAAGTCTGCACCTTTGGGAGGCTGAGGTGAGTGGATTGCCTGAGCCCACGGGTTCGAGATCCGCCTGGCCAACTTGGCAAGACCTCATCTCTACAATAAATCAAAAAATTAGCCGGGCATAGTAGCACACGCCTGTAGTTCCAGCTACTTGGAAGGCTGAGGCGGAAGGATCGCCGGAGCCTAGCAGGTCGAGGCTGCAGTGGCCAGGAGCGGCCACTGTACTCCAGTCTGGGCAACAGAGTGAGACTCCAACTCAAAAAAAAAACCCAAAAAACAAAGATCATCATTTTATACAGACATGATTTGTGGTGCCCCAAAACTGCAATAGTAACATCAAAAACCACTGATCACAGATATAATAATGAAAAAGTTTGAAATATTGAGAGAATAATCAAAATGTGACAAAGAGAAACAAAGTGAGCATGTGCTGTAGAAAAAATGGCATCAATAGACTTGCTCAAAGCAGGGCTGCCACAAACTTCCAATTTGTAAAAAATGCAATGGGCCGGGCTCAATGGCTCAGCCTATAATCCCAGTACTCTGGGAGGCCAAGGCAAATGGATTGCCTGAGCCTGCGGGTTTGAAACCAGCTCAGGCTACTTGGTGAGACCTCATCAGTACAATAAATAAAAAATTGGCCGGGCATGGTAGTGCATGCCTGTAGTTCCAGCTACTTGGAAGGCTGAGGCAGAAGGAGCACGGAGCCCAGCAGTTTGACGCTGAAGTGGTCATGACTGTGCCACAGCACTTCAGCCTGGGCAACAAAGTGAGACTCCAACTCAAAAAAAAAAAAAAATGCAATGAAGTACAATAAAAAGATGATCAATAAAACGAGGTATGTGAGTATAGACAAATCAAAATACCACTTCTCTTTTGCTTTCAACAAACTTAGTACAAATTTTGAACACCTTAAGGCTATTATGACTGGAGAATTTTAGGCAGCAAAGAATGCTCAATGCAAAAGCTTTAATGATGGATATAACGACACAAGGCAATTTTCTCAATTTATCAACTCACAAAGCAAAACGAGGGTAACAAAGGTTAATTTCTCATTTCCCCTTCCTCAAAACTAGATGACATTGCAGAGAAATCGCCTGTGATGTTTTCAAAAGTGTCAGTTATCTTTGAAATGTGCTCAGGCAATTTACAAAGTTTACAAAAACACAAGTCAATATAATCACGTTCCTGGGACTACTTTCTGGAAAACCACCTGTGCAGGCTGGTGCAAGAGCCTAGTAGTAACCAAGACTCCTCTGTGACAGCTGTTGTGGGTCTTGCCACTCACTCATGCCACAGGAATCAGAAAACTTTAGAGCTGGACCACAAAAACAGTAACGTAGGGCAAAGACCATTTTTGGTCTCACTTTCTAAGCGCATATCCTTGCAGATGAAAACACATGATTGGAAGGCCAAGGTGGAAGGACTGCCTGAGACCAGAGGTTCAAGAACAGCCTGGACAACTGGGCAAGACCTCTTCTCTACCATAAATCAAAAAATTAGTTTGGCGTGGTAGTGCATGCCTGTAGTTCCAGATACTTGGAAGGCTGAGGCGAAAGGACAGCCGGAGCCCAGTAGGCTAATGTTGGGGTGGCCATGAGCATGCCACTGCACTCCAGCCTGAGTGACAGAGTGAGACTCCAACTCAAAAAAAAAAGAAAGAAAAGAAACCACATGAGACGTGTGCTGAGCAGAATGAGAAAATGAAGGCCTAGAGACACAAAGGGGATTCCAGCCACTGTTCAGGGTCACACGCACGTCAGTGACAGAGGAGGAACAGACTTAACTACCCTTTCCCCAACTCCCTTCCTCTGTTGAACTTTTATTTCGTCCTCCTTCACAGCTCTCTGTCTTCTTCCTTTTTTATTTGCTTGAAATTTTCCCTCAGTAGTGGGAATCTGCCAGTGGGGGGGGGCACACTTCATCAACAAGGGTACCTGCATAATGAACATTTGTATACCTAACCCTGAATTGTACCCCATATCTTTAAAATAAAAAAATTCAAAAATAAATAAAAAATAAAATAAAATGGGAAGAAAATATCCACAGTGAAATTTATAGATCAGCTTAAATATTGTAAATATATGTGAGCATTGTGTACATTGTACTGAACTGTGTAGATATTAGAAGATATTATTTCATAGGAACGAGAGTTTCAAACTAAAGGTACTGATGATCAAATGCCAGCCAGCATCCAAGCCTCTCAGGCCAGTCCTTGGAGTAATGGGTCTTCCTTGCAGTCGGAAGCTATTAGTTTGCAGGTGTCTGCTGACTCTGCCTACCTCTGAAGCCAGTCCTCAGCTTACCTCCACTTTCCTCATAATGCAGCCCAGGATAAGTTAGAGTGGCTATATTAACAAGATTACCATCTGCAATAGGGTGAACTGTGCCTTGAATTATAAAGATCCTAATGGAGCGAGACTCATCTGTCACCACTAGGACAAAGGCAGACAGCTTGGGGGGACTGGCAGCAAACAGGGCCAGAAGGAGAGGCGGGGAAGACTCATGTCTTCCCCAAGAAAGGGGGTGTGATTTAAAGAATAAATGATCTCTTGTGTGCCACCACCCCCCCCAAAAAAAAAAAAGAAAAGAAAACTTTTCCCTCATGTCTACCCATGGTAACTTACAGGGAAGATCAAATATCAGTTAGGGCTCAACAAGTTGGTAGTCTCTAGACTAAATCTTTTTTTTTTTTTTTTTTTTTTTTTGAGTTAAAGTCTCACTTTGTCCCCAAGCTGGAGTGCAATCACAGCTCACTGCAGTCTCCAACTCCTGGATTCAGGCAATCCTTCTGCCTCGGCCTCCTAAGTAGCTGGGACTACAGGTACACGCCACCAAGCATGGCTACTTTTTTTTTTTAATTTTTGTAGAGATGAGGTCTCACTATGTTGCCCAGGCAGGTCTTCAAGCAATCCTCCTGCCTTGGCCTCCCAAAGGGCTGGGATTATAGACGTGAACCAGTGCGTCCAGACCCTTCAAAATCTATTTTAAAAGAAAAAGAAATGTTTCCAACTTCTTACTCATTGACTTCCAGGTCCTGATCATCAGAAGATTCATCTTCTCCTAGGACATTTTCAGAGTCTGGTTTCCGAATGAGAAAGAAGAGAACTGTCCCCACAAGGCTAATCACTGTTAGGGCAATAAACACTGTTCTTCGGTCACTCTCTAAGAGAAAAATAAGAAGCTAGGTAGCATCAACCAAACAATTCCAGAATTAGTACTATGTCAAAGTATTGTTTGTACACATCAAAACACTTTCTCATTATATTTCTAATTTAATGCATCAGTAAAAACTTAGGACAAGGAGACAAATAGGACACCTTTGCCTTTGTCTTTCAGTTAGAAAAACACTAATAAGTCAAAGAAAAGCAGGACAAGAGCTTAATCATGTTGTTTTAATTTTTAAAAAAAGAAGCCTGGGCTCAGTGGCTCAGCCTGTAATCTTTGGAAGGCCAAGGTAAGTGAATTGCCTAAGCCCACGGGTTCGAGACCAGCCCAAGCAACTTGGTAAGACCTCATCTCTACAATAAAAAATAAAAAAAAAAAATAAGCCGGGTGTGGTAGTACGTGTCTGTAGTCCTAACTACTTGGAAGGCTGAGGTGGAAGGATCGCTGGAGCCCAGTAGATCAACGCTGAGGTGGCCGTGAGTATGCCACTGCACTCCAGCCTGGGCAACAAAGTGAGACTCCAAAAAAAAAAAAGGCCAGGCGCAGTAGCTCACACCTATAATCCCAGCACTTTGGGAGGCAGAGGTGAAAGGACCACCTGAGCCCATAGGTTCAAGACCAACCTGGGCAACTTGGCAAGATCTCATCTCTACAATAAATTTTTAAAAATTTGCCGGGTATAGTGGCACATACATGTTCCAGCTACTTGGAAGGCTGAAGCAGAAGGATTGCCTGATCCCAGCAGGTCAAAGCTGCGGTGGATGTGATCATGCCACTGCACTCCAGCCTGGGGGACAGAGAGAGACTCCAACCCAAAACAAAACTGTACAGAGAAACAACTGAGCATTCAAAAGTATTCTGACAACTGAATAGTACATTCATATGTAGCATAATCTTCACTCATACCTCGAGATGCCACCTGAAGCACAGTCATAAACTATTATCCTAGTTTAATAATATAAACCAAGGAAAAGGCTTACTAAAGGCTAAAATCTGAGAGGACCTGAGGTATCAAAGTTCATTAGAACAGTGTTGAAAAAACAATAAGAACTTCTATAGAACTGCTATTATGCTTTGAATATATTTGAATAAAGCAATGTAAATAAAACAAACCTGATATGTGAGTTTTCCCTTGCCAGGCAAAATATATGTAGAGATTTCCAAAGAACAAGCTGGAGGAAGAAAAGGGAGGAGAGGCTGTTGGGAAATTATTTTAATATTTATGGTTTTTAAAAAATAATTATTCCCATTATGTGTTGTGAGAGAGACACATGATTTTTAAAGTATCTACCTACCCTGGGTAATTTAAAAGTATCAACTCCACCCTGACTCTGATAAACTTAACTGATCCAGATGGAATTCCTTCCATGTGACAGTAACCTGATTCAGAGTCGCCTTGCAGATAAGACTTGACTCACTTTGAAACATGTGATTTATTACAACTCTGGAAATGACTCTGTGGAAACAAGCTTATGCTAAATTTAAATAATCTGTGAGAAAAAAATTCAAATGTAGTTATCTGCATCTAATCAGATATTTTATTTAGCATATTTTCCTAGAAAAGGAATCATTCACTTACACTCCTGTTTCTTAAAACCTAAACATTTGCAGGCTTGGAATGGTGGCCAAGGCAGGAGGATCACTTGAAGCCAAGAGTTTGATACCAGCCTGGTCAACATAGCAAGACCCCATCTCTACAAATAAATACAAAAATTGGCTGGGCGGGTAATGTGCACGTATAGTCCCAACTACTAGGGAGGAAGGAGGTTGAGGCAGGAGGATCCCTTGAGCTCAGGAGAATGAGGCTGAGTGAGCTATGATTGCATCACTGCATTCTAGCCTCGGTGACAAAGTGAGATCTTGTCTTAAAAAAAAAAAATGTCCAGGGATGGTGACTCATGTCTATAATCCCAGCACTTGGGGAGGCTAAGGTGAGAGGATTGCCTGAGCCCATAGATTCCAGACCAGCCTGGGCAACTTGGTGAGACCTCATCTCTACAGTAAGTAAAAAAAAAAAAAAAATTAGCTGGGTGTGGTGGCACATGCCCGTAGTTCCAGCTACTTGGAAGGCTGAGAGGAAGGATCACCTAAACCCAGCAGGTCGAGGCTTCAGTGGCTGTGAGCAAACCATAGCATTCTAGCCTGGGCAACAGAGTGAGGCTCCAACTTAAAAAAAAAAGGAAGCTAAACATTTGAATTTGTTAAGGCTTGTCAAGACTAAAATTTTAGGCAAGATTCATAAAGTTAACTTCTCAGTACAGATTTCTGAAATCCAACAGTCAAAAGTAGAATAGCCAGGCACAGTGGCTCACACCTGTAATCTTAGCACTTTGGGAGGCCAAGGCGAGACGATTGCCTGAGACTAGCCTGGGCAACTTGGCGAAGCCTCATCGCTACAATAAATCAAAAAATTATCCAGGTGTGGTAGCACATGCCTGTGGTTCCAGTTACTTGGAAGGCTGAGGCAAAAGGATCGCTTGAGCCCAGCAGGTCAGGTTGCAGAGGCTGTGACCCTGCCACTGCACTTCAGCCTGGGCAACAGTGTGACTCTGACTCAAAAACAAAACAAAACAAAAAAAGTAGAATAATTGTTTTGCTTCTTTCTTAAGATGCAATATGCTATATTGTCCAGTACTGGTATAATTAGTCTCGCTTTTGAATTTTAGTGTACTTGTTAATAGCTGTCAGGTAGTATAGCTTGATAGTAAGGATGTGCTCTTTGAAGTCTAGATAACAATGGTTTAAATTGGATAAGGTACATAACTTCCCCCCCAACCCTTTGTAAGCTGGGGCTACCAGTGCACACCACCATGTCTGGTTAACTTTTTTTTTTTTTTAATTTTTTGTAGAGACAGAGTCTCCCTAAATAGCCCAGCTGGTCTTGAACTCCTGGCTTCAAGTGATTCTTTTGCCTCGCCTCCCAAAGTACTGGGATTACTGGCACGAGTCACTGTGCCTGGCCATCACTACAAGTAACTCCATAAAATTTTCAATCTGTACCACATTCAGATAGAACTTAAATCATGTAACATAGAAGATCTGAATTTTCAACCGAAGACCTAAAAACTGGTATGACTGGTGTGTCAAAGGAAAGGCAGAGTTTCAAAAAGATTATTACCTAGACTGCAGAAGTGCCCAGAAAATTCCACTGTTTCTCCCAATAGTGTGCTCATCTGAATTTATTGTCAGGCAGTTTCCTTGTGCTGTCCAAAGCACTAAAATTTAAATCAAAAGTTTATCAAGGAAATGAAATCACTTAGCTTTACATGCAAAACACATAAATGATACCTTTAGAGGCCCCAGAAAAGAAAACAGAGAAGATAAAACTTAAAATGCTTACCAGCAGCAGCAATTCCAATGAAAACAGAGGCTGTGTAGAAGGACCATGGGAAAGGCTGGATAAAAACGGCAATGTACATGCTAAAATATAACAGGTCAATGTATTACAGTCACACAATACCTGAAATAGAATGCCAATTATACCTTCTAGGATTCAATTCTGAGGGATCTCTTCTTGTAAACTCAACTCGTAAAGGACTCAAAAAAAAGGGGGACAAGCTGGGCTCGGTGGCTCAGCCTGTAATCCTGCGCCTTTGGGAGGCTGAGGTGAGTAGATTGCCTGAGCCCGCGGGTTCGAGACCCGCCTGGGCAGCGAGACCTCATCTCTACGATAAATCAAAAAATCAGCCGGGCGTGGTAGCGCATGCCTGTAATTCCGGCTACTTGGAAGGCTGAGGCAGAAGGATCGCCGGAGCCCAGCAGGTCGAGGCTGCGGTGTCCGGGAGCGGCCACTGCACTCCAGTCTGGGCGACAGAGTGACTCCAACTCAAAAAAAAAAGGGGGGCGGGGGACAAATTCGACTTACTCATTTCTTAACTTACTTTTTCAAATTTGTAAAGCCAAACATTTTATATTTTGCCTTTACCAAAAGCTTAGCACAGGATAGAACTGTAGTTCTAGAGCCCAGCAAAACATTACTTCATATGAATCCCTGTTAGACAACTGACAGAAGATAAGATTATTTCATGGGATGTTCTTTGCAGACCTTAAGAAGAGATTTTTGGATACTATTTTTATTAATAGTAAAACAAAAGCAGATATACACACATCCCATCTCATTAGAACAACATGGTATCCCTGATCAACAGACAGGGAGCCCAAATCCCCCAAATACCACCTATATTTTATTCAATCCAAGTCTGCAAGTTCTTGTAAAAAGTTTACTATGTGCTTGAGAGATGCTGAAAGTGTTCTAATTAACTAAGTGAAAGATTATATTACACTACTCACCTATAAAACAAACCACTGGCAAACATAGAGAGTTGAGGTCCTACAATGGCAACTACTGAAGGTGTAATCAAATTGGAAGCAGAGAACACTCCATAAATTATTGCCATGCTGCACATACAATAGATGGAAAAAAAGAACAAAATCCTCAAGCACTGTTAAAGTTCACTTTTCAAAGCCTAGAGTCTATAGATTTTGCAACCAACATTCATATTCTTTAGTCAGCATTTATGATAACTGTCACTAAATTGAATACCATATTAAAAGTTTTCATCTGTACAAAACATAGGAGTCCTCTCAATTGTCTTTGAATGTTTGCCTATGACACATTTTTAATGTATTGGTCAATTATAATAATAGCTAATACATAACAAGCACTGTGCCAAGTACCTTATATATATATTTTTTAAATCCTAACATCTCTAGGAAGCAGGTATTATTATATTCATTTTAGAGAAAAGAAAACTGTCATATAGTGGAGTTAAGTAACTTGCTAGAAGTCCAGCTGGGTGACTGGTGAATGTCAAGCCAGGACTCCATGACTCCAGAGGCCCTAGTCAGCCAGTCGGCTCTTACAACCTTAGCCTACAACTCCTGGCAACTGCATGACATTTCTCTGCTATAAATAACTCACAAAGTTATAACTCACTTAAACCAGAGTTTACTTAACACAATCTAACGGTCTCACTTGAACATTACTCAATTACAATTGATCCAGCCCCAGTATATGTATCTTGTACAAAGTGGAATTAAAACCATTTAAAGGGTCATGAATTCACTTACAAGGGTTCATAAACCCAAAGTAAATTACTCCTTGGCTTTTATGAATCTCTCAAATACCAAATATGCTTTTTCATTTGTTCTTTAGAATACACATGAAGACAAAGCACTACAAAAGTTATTATTAATCACTTAGAAAAATTAACAGTAATATCTCTTCATTCTCAAATGTCATATAGAAAGTTTGGGATAGGTAATAAAGAACCAAGTAAGAGTTGTGGGGTGGGGGCGTGCCATGATCTAAGATCTAACTATAGAGAAATTAAGAAACCTGTTTCTATAGCATATACAGCACACAGCATTTCAAAACAACACGCTGTAAACAATAAATACATGCAATTTTTATTCGTTAATTTAAAAAATAGTTTTAAAGAGAGGAACCTGTTTGTGTTTACATACATGGAATGTATTACATTCCCAGATCCAATCACAAGTTCCTAGTGACCTACAAAGGTCTTTTCATTTTCCCCATCTGTAAAATTGGGACTAAACACCTAACTAAAATCTAAAAGCTCCTGATAAAATATATTACTCATTATGTAATTAAAAAACTGAATGATCAAATGTTTCAAGAACCACATAAAACTTCTGTTTAGGATTGGAAAAATGTAATCATGACGATACTTAATGCTTATTCAATGCCATGCACTGTGCCAAGCGCTTTACATGCATTATCCGAGCAAAAAACTGGACCCATGGAAATAACCTGCCTAAGATAAAGCAATCACATAGTAAAGCCAGGATTCCACAGAAAACCTAAAATCATCACCTTTATTCTATTATGTTCTCTCAAATAGTCTAGCTGCCCAGAAGAGAGAAAGCAACCACCACTAATTCAATCACAATATTTTATTTCTGGTGATTCTGATGAAACTTAAGCAACTACTGTTAAATGTAAAGTAAAATCATTCATACAGTGCAATACCTGGTATATCCACTGCCGTGAAAATCTGTGCTGTTTAAGCTCCTGATGACAGTTTGCTGTGTGGAAGATAAAACTAATCACCAAAAATGTTTTGCACTCTTCTTACTTCTTGGAAAGTATGATTCCAAGTACTCAAAAAAAGAATAAAGTCAAAGTTTGCAACTCTTAATACTATGAGAAGATACTATGAGAAAAGAAAAAGAACTGGAGAAGGCAAACCAATGACAGGGAGGGGGGAAGGGCAACCCAGCTGTTAACTATGTCTTGAGTTTATTTCCTTAACCATCCAAGTTCTAAGCTTAATACAGACAAGAAATAAAATAACTAGGTCAATGTCAAACGCCAAACCAAATCGGATAAATAAACGATAGTGTCTTACACTCCATACAGGAGAAATGTCTGACACAAGAAATCAAACCTAATCATAACAAAGGAGGAAAGTTAGGTAGCAAAATAAAAGGTGCAATTTAAGCGCTCTATTAGATAGAACTAACGTTTATTATCATTATTGAAATGCATTATGATAGGCACTTAAAAGGAGGGAGAACAAATTCCCAACTCACCGCCACATTTCCACAAGTTTGAAAGGCAGTGAACATAAACATAAAGGCAACTCCTAAAATAATGATGTTGAAAAGCTTTTTAGATTCCGGGGACATTTTGGCTCAGCTCTGCCGGAGGTCAGCAGCAGCCCAGGGCAGTCGGCTCTCCTCGGGACGAACCCACTGACAATCCTGGGGAAGGAAATGAGATGGTGAAAGCAAAAGGCAGACGCAGGAGCAAGGCAGCCAAGCTGTCAACTTCCAGTTCTTGGATGAGAATCCCGGGCTAGAGTGAATTTCTCCGACCGGCAAGTTAAGACATTCCTAGGATACGATCCGAGTACGGAAGAGCCCAACACCCAAGGCAGCGCCAAGAACGTAGTTGTTCCAGATTGAGGGGCCCACGAGAGGGATTAAGGGACCAAGGGCGAGCTGCAGCGGCCCTCGCGGCCCCGCCCTCGGGGCCAGACTCACCGCAGGTCAGGCGACCGGGTCACCTGACCGCCGCCGGCCCGCGGCCCGCTGGGAAATGTAGTCCCGGATGGCCCGGGCCGCGCAGGCGCGCGCCGAGAGCTCTCCGCCCCCTGGGAAGGGGAGGCCGAGCCCACGGGTCAGGGGAAAGCGGGACTGGGAAGCAAAACCCGGCGAAGAATAGTCGAGTATTGTTGGAGGGGGTCTAGAGACGACGTAGCGTCATCTGAAATGGCTGGGGACACAGCGGAAAACGGGGGGAGAGCACCCCTCTGACGGCGGAGGAGGAGACGCTGAGGACCGAACGAGCCGGGATACCGGCTTGGAAAAAAAAGGCGGGGCCCACATGGGGAGCACTTCCTCTTCCTCCTGCCCGAGCTCTCGTGTCTTGCCTCTCCGACGGAAAGAGCGTTTCGCGGGCTTTCCAACTGCCCACTAATTCCGCTCCCCCTCCCGCCGGCAGTGACTCCGCGCTTTTCGGCCCGCCCGCCGGCTTCTGCGCAGGCGCTTCAGGCAGGGGCGGGGCGCGCGGCAGCGACGTTAACGAGGCGGGGCGCGGCGGGCCAATCAGAAGATTCATTTCCGGGTGGCGCGGGCGCCATTTTGTGGGGAGGAATATAAGCAGGCGCTGGGGCCGGCCGTCCGCCCAGTTGTCGCTCAGGTGCGTCCGCTGGAGGGTCTCTCCCGTGGCCTCCCCCGCTCGGCCTGTCCTAGCGCTCCCCACGCGGAAGGCAACTGCCAGAGAGGAGGCGCGGCGTCGCACCGCCCAGAGCTGAGCAAGCCGGCGCCCGTTCGCGAGGCCCCGGGCCGCCTCTCGGAGCCATGAGCTACGGCCGCCCCCCTCCCGATGTGGAGGGCATGACCTCCCTCAAGGTGGACAACCTGACCTACCGCACCTCGCCGGACACGCTGAGGCGCGTCTTCGAGAAGTACGGGCGCGTGGGCGACGTGTACATCCCGCGGGACCGCTACACCAAGGAGTCCCGCGGCTTCGCCTTCGTCCGCTTCCACGACAAACGCGACGCCGAGGACGCCATGGATGCCATGGACGGGGCGGTGCTGGACGGCCGCGAGCTGCGCGTGCAGATGGCGCGCTACGGCCGTCCCCCCGACTCGCACCACAGCCGCCGGGGACCGCCACCCCGCCGATACGGGGGCGGCGGCTACGGGCGCCGGAGTCGAAGGTGAGCCGGGCGGCGGCGGCGCGCGGGCGCGCGGAGGGCCGGGCGGCCTCACAAAAGGTCCGCGGCGGAGCACGTGGTGCCTGCGGGGCGGGGCGCTGCCGCTTTCTCGCCCCTCCGGGCCGCGCCCCCTCCTCGGCCTGGCTGCCGGTGGGTTGTTGACCGTGGACCGATTTTTTTTTTTTTTTTTTTTTTTTTTTTTTTTTTTTTTTTTTTTTTTTTATTTTTTTTATA